ACACTACAACAATACCACCAAATGCCAAATCACAACATATTGCAGCTGAAAAGATCAATTCAGCTGCAAAAAGCCTAGCTGAATATTAACGAATGATAAAGATCGCTACAGATGACTCAATGAAAGTTTTGTTATCGTCTAAGATAATTGAAAAACAAAAAATATATCAATACAAAATGCACAGCTAACAAAGCTGAAATGTCATGCTGAAGCTCAATCAAGGCTAGCAGCAAAAAAACAGAAATTGCTAGAAGAGGGTATTGTAGAAAAATATAATACTCCAGGAAGACCATCCGCGGCTATGAAAGATCCAGATCTATAGGATAAAATCCATGACAGTGTTGAGTTTGGAGCTGCTCATGCTAAATGAAGAAAAGTGGTCATAAAGTTAGGACCGTGAAGCATTTACGCGAAACTCTAGAAGAAAAATATAATACTTATCTATCTCATCAATGCTTATCAACTTATCTTTAACCCCAAAACTAGCGTACCTTTGCTGCATGTCATCATCATCATCCAACAAAGGTTGGTCTTGCCTCTGTATCACGGACAGAAATGAAACCTCATATTAATGAACATTACTGTCTAGCTTCCGTCAAAGCTGCAAGAGTATTTGCTGAAGTTTTTGCTGATGAGGCAATTATCATCTCCCAGGATGATAAGGCAAAGGTTGGATTAGGCATTCCTGCAGTTGGTCACACATTCAAAACAATCCAGTCAGTTAATGAACCAGTAACTATCAAAGATCACGATTTTCCAACTGGTTCAAAAATGAAACTCATACCTTCCGTTTATTTAGTCATTAATCCAGCTGATTCGAGTAATACCTTTCGTACTGGTCAGCTTTTCATATTCATTAGGCCAGAATATTTCATTGGAACTTCATCAACAACCCATATAGTAGATTTAGAAAGTATCGTTTCGAATGAAGAGTTTTCCACTACCCTAAAGAAAGAAGGCAAAGTTAGACCTATTTGGATTCTTCTTGTTGATGGTGGACCTAATGAAAACCCGAAGCATATGAAAAATATTATTCAATATGCTCACCTTTTCTGTGTTCTTGATCTGGACTACTTGACGATTTGTACTTATGCTCCAGGTTAAAGTGCGTATAACCCAATCGAACGCAGTATAGCTTCTTTATCTGCAAAACTTGCTGGTATCACTCTACCTATAGGGAATTCAGATCACATCTAAATAGTTAAGGGAAAGTAGTAGATAAAGAATTAGCATGATGGAATTTCGAATATTTGGGAAAAAAACTACGTGATATATGGAAAAGGGATGACATACATGAAAAACCTGTGATGGTGGAATATATCGACCAGGAGAGATATCTATTCAATGATCCTAAGCCTTCAATATCGTGGGAGTGGATTGAGGATCATATGCAGATGAGTCGCTATTCACTGGATATAAGAAAATGTAAAAATAATGAATGTTGTGGTGTATATAGATCTCCAGATGCTGCTATCCTTTTAAATGAGAATAATAGATTTCTTTCTCCAACTACGAAAGGAAAAGATGGTCACTTCATCAACCCAATTCATGCTCTTCAATATCACGATAAACTCAAAATTCCAAAGTACGATAGCTGTTGCCCTTTAATTTCACGAGAATTACATCAGCGTTTATGTTGTAGCATATGTGGCAAATATTTTCTGACCCTCAAGTTCATAAGTGACTATAAGCGTAGTGTACATTCTAGACGTCGCAATAAGAAATCAAAAAGCCTTCAGGAACAAGCTAATGAGACGGAAATGGGTTGTGTGCTTATTCCATTCAATCTAAATTTTAACGTCGCTAAAGATATAGTTCAAAGCAAAGGTATGAAACAAGTTGAACGGGATTCTCGTGAAGTTCAGTCAGACGAAGATTAAAAAAAAGAAGAAAAAAGTTGGCTTTTATATTAGTTTTATGTGATGATGTAATAACGTCGGATACTAAAATATCCTTACATATAATATGTGGCTCCGTCGTGTCATGTCGTAATAAAATATAGGAATTGAATAAAATAATAAAATTAATAAAATGCTTTTTGATTGCACTTGGCATGTGAATATTATAATTCCAACCAATCATTTTATTCAGCATGTGATTTTTGCTAATATTTTTAGCCAAATCAAACTGACCAATCATTTTACATTAAGTATATCACGTGACTATACTCACCTGATATAAAGATCGACCCCCCACCCCCCTTGAAATCAGCTGATTTCTGGCATGCCCCTAATATAAAACCACAAACTCCAAAAAAACAAAGTAATTATATTACATATTTATAGTCTAGCAAAATTTTCTTATTTTGATGGATTGCCCATTTTTTTTTATTTTTAATTGCCAGAAGTATGAACATGATTTAGGATCAAATTCATGTTATTAAGTTCAAAATAGTAGATATACATCTCCAATATTACATTCTCATAATAATCCTTTTACTGAAGATACTGAAGATAAAAACGTTATTATTACTAATGTTCCTCCAAGACTTTCATCATCAAAGAGTTTAGAATTTGATATATTTGTAAATGACGTTAATATCTTAGAAAAATTTAAAACTTATATTAATGAAGCCATATTGCATGCTAATAACAAAAGCTTATATGTTAAGTCACATACTTACAAAATCTTATCATTATCATCTATATTTGTTTTGATCTCAAATTCCTATTTGACAAAAATGATAGAGGTATTTGGTTTATAAATACTTGAATCAATTTACCATGAATATGTTTAAGCGATTTGCATAAAAGTGCAATTGATTTCTTATATAAACATTGCAAATAGAAGTGAATTAAAAGACAATTTCAGAATTTTAATGATAGACCTATCAGATTTTTACCATTTGATAAAATCAGAAATAAACTAAGTAAATTAACTTTAATTACAAACTTTTTAAATGGAATTATAAAGAAAGCATTTCATGACCTTGATAAATATCTAATACAATGGTCAAACATGACTCTTACAAAAAGTAAAATAAGGAAATTTGATGGATCAAGAATGAAATAGCCAGATTTTGTAGTATTATTGAACTGTCAGTCTCATGCAAAAAATGTGATTTATGTTAATGAAGTTACTGAATAAAAATAATGTTTATAAAAATTGTTTTGATCTAATCAGAATAGATATACAGTATATTCTTGATAAACTGAAGTCACCATTTAGGGTTAAAACTTCAGTATATAGTAGCCTTCAGTATATTAAAATTTTTTTTATATATCAAAGTTTATATATTTTAAAAAAAAATTCATTATATCGAAATTAAAATCATGTGACTTAATTTTATTATGAAAAACATTGCATGTTTTACATAGTTTGCAAATTACCTGACATTAACCAATTATTTAACGATACTTGTTTTTTTTTCTCTTTGTAAAAATAACTAATTTTACTGTTTAGATCTTTTAAAGTAGCTATATGCTTAACTTTAACAATAAAATTATTTGATGGGTTATTAATAAAAGCTATTATTTGATTTAATGATTTCATAATTTCTGATATAGCCACTTTTGGTTATGTAATTTCTTTTTACTGTTCTTCTTCTGACTCATTAAATTTTATAATATTAATTATATTCTCATCTGTAAAGCTCTGAACGGTTCAGATTAATCTGAAGATTTTTTGGATTGGTTCAGTTTCAGATTGCATAAAAATCAATCTGAAAATTTTCGAATTAGTTCAGATTTTTTTCAGATTATAATTCTAATCTGAACTGAAAAAAATCTGAACTGAACTGATAATTTCAGATTAATCTTAAAGTTTAGTTCTATTATATGCGAAATTCTTGGAGGATTGCAAAATTTGCAAATTCTCTAAGAGGATCACAAAAATTTAGCAAAACTCTTAGAGAATTGCAATTTTTTGCGATTTCTCTTAGAATTTTGCAAAATTATCGCGAAACTCTTAGAAAGTCGCAAAAAATTGCAATTTTTCTTCAAATTTTGCAAAAAAATCGTGAAACCCTTGGAGAATCGTAATTTTTGCAATTTCTCTTGGTATTTCGCAAAAAATATCACGAAATTCAAATTTCACAAAAAATGCAAAAATCTTGAAGAATTGCAAAATTTTGCGATTACTCATTGAATTTCACAAATTTTCGCGAACCTCGAAAAGAAATTCGCAATTTTTTGTGATTCTCCTAAAGTTTCGCATATAAATTGCAAATTCCTTATATAATCGAACTGTAATTTCAGATTAATCTGAAAATTCCAGTTCAGTTTGAATTTTTACCAGTCTGCGGTTCAGTTCAGATTCGGATTGGCATTTTTAAGATTAATAATCTGAACTAAACTGAACTGAAATTTTTGATTCAGATATGGATTGGCATCTAATCCAGACTGAACTGAACTGTTCAGAGCTTTACTCATCTGTAAGTTCTTCCTTCTCAATATTAATATTCTTATCAATTGTAATAAATTCTTCAGTACTCATTTCTTTTTCACAATTTTGTAAATTCATCTAACAATTCTTGAAATTCTTATTTTTCAGCTTTAAAGTCTTATTCTTCATTTTCAGAATCTTGTTCATTATTAAGTATAATAAAACAAGAAGGAAGAATTTCAGTTTTTAACTAACAATTATATATAATTTTACGTGTTATTATGTTCTAAGCTTTTTACAAAGTAAAATGGAATCTATTATTTTTAGATTTGAAATTGAAATATTGAATTCTAATTCATTATCATAAGCTTCAATTCTATTTTTAATAAGTCTCTTATGGTGAAACCAGCAAAAATTGATAAACCTGTCAAATATGACATATATGCTAAATATGCCAAATCTGTCATATCTACCAAATCTGCCATATCTGCCAAATAGGACATAAATATCATTTACCATATTTTTATTATATCTATCATTATTAACATTTATATCATATTTAACATAATTAACATATCTGTTAGCTCTGTTATTATTGTCAGTAGTATCATAATTATCATAGATTTTCTTTAATTGTAATTTTTCCTATATAAAGGACATGAAAATACCTTGAAAAAAGAACAGATTCTAAGATTCCAACAAGTTCTCAATATTGTATTCAATAAACATTTAATAACAATAATAAATACTCTTAATATTTTACAAACATAAAAACTTATAATTTTATTCTTGTTAACTAAATAAACTCTCTAATAAACAACGTGTCAAGTTGATTAGATTTAAGTCATAGCTATTGCCTCCCTAACTTCAAATCATAGTTAACTTATTTTACGGAAAAGAGTAACGTTAACAATGATATTATATCTAAATTTAAGATAATAATAATATTTAATAATTACTAAGATTTATAAAATTAGTAATAAATACAAACTTTAAATAAATTAATGATTTCTGCATCAGCAGGTTGTAGATGTGCTGTAGTATTAGGTGAAAGATAATAGACTGTAATATTTATTAGTAGTGAAGAATTTTCAATGATGTGAACTGATACATTATCTACCAATAAAAGAATTTTTTTATTTAACTTTTCCATTCTCTTATTTAAAAGTTTTAAGTATTCATTTTAGATAGAACTTTGCATTCAAGTACTTTTATTCCAATAAAAATCAACAGGAAGTTTTGATTTATTATAACCAATCATATCTCTTGGTATTTTAAATTTATAAATAAATAAAGGTAACATCTTAATTGATCCAGTAACATTAAATGTTAGTAAAATTGTTATTCTTTCTTTAGATTTTTTCATTTCTGATAAAAGTTCAGTTGATAAAATCTTAGAAAGTTCTAACTTCCAATATAATCCTATAATTTAAAATTTTTTTAAATAAACAATTGAAGCAAATTCACTTTATTTAATAAACTCACCTGTTTAATCGCAATTAAACACATTTTTAATATCATAATTACTTATTAATTCTTATAATTTCTTTCTTTCTTCTTCTAATTTTTCTTTATTTGGTCTACTTTGAGCTTTACTATGTTTATTATATTACTTTAAATTATATTTTTTTTTAAAATTAGTTAACCAACTATCTGAATCATGAAAATTTTCAATATTTAATAACTTTACAAAATCATTAACCTTTAATAAAATTATTTCACCAATAATTGTTCTATTTGTAACTAAAGCATTAGTGATCCAAATAGCAAAAGCTTCTTCTAATTAAAGAAACTTCAGTAACCTGCTTTTCTGCTTACTATCATTTGAGTTATTAACTTCTAACCATTTTTCTTTTTTTTTTAAGATATCATATACAGTATTTTCTGCAGCATCACTGAACCTTTGTCCTAATTCTTTATATATTAGGGATGAATTTTTTTGGTGTAATAAATATATTTCTTTTTTTTTATCCAAAGCTTAGCATAACTTTTTTCTTTTTTGATATAGTTTTTAATATAATAAAGAGAAAATAAAAGTGAAAACAATCAATGTAAAAATTGCAAAAGTTATATGAATTAAATATCATATGATCATATGATTTTGATTTTTAATATAACAAGCTTTTTTTTATTATATACTATTATAAATAGTAAAAATAAAAAATTCAGTATAACATTATATAAAATTTTATAGTAAAATCAATATATCAAGAGATTTTAATTATTAATGAAAATAGTTATATGAAAATCTTCAGTATATAGCGATCTTCAGTTTATTATAACTTTAGTTTATCGAGAGTATACTGTATTCATAAAAGATTGTATTAACTCAGTAATTTTACAAGAAGCTGGAATAAAAATATTAGGATTCAATGTATTACATACAAATTGAATTTTTATGTATTTGATTTAAATGGCGAAGGATTATATACAATAAATCATATTGTTCAAATTTCTATACCTGAAATAATTAAGGGTTTATTTACTTTTATAGACGAATTACATATTCTATTAAATTTACAAGATATTTTAATGAAGTCTTATGATATCTTTATTGATAAACTCTAAAATGCAGGCTTAGTTTCATTAAAGTTAAAATCATCATTTAAAAGAAAAATGTTAGATACTCCTAAATTTAAAAGGCTTGTTAGTAAAACTTACTGTATAAAAAGGGAATGTCTATTATGATTTGATCAATATTAATTAATGTAGATTAAATGCTTATGACTATTTTCTTTCTAGCTATCACAAGTGCTCTTAGACTATAATATATCAAATAAAAATAATTGTTAGCATTTTTCCTATGTTGCAAAAAATTAATTGTTCACTTTAGAGCTCTGAACAGGTTAGTTCAGGTCGGGTCAATCAAGTTATCTGAACTGAGAGGATCAGGTCAAATCAAACAAAATCTGACCTGATTTAAATTTTTATTTACCCTGACCTGACCTGACCTGACCTAATCTAACCTAATTTGATCAAATTATTTAAATTATTTAATAAACAATATATTATAT